TGTATTTTGATGTTCAACAACATATATTTCATGTGTCAATTAGGTGTACTTGTTTTATTGTTTTGTTCAAGTTGTTTGTTCTGGGCCAGGGAGGTAGCTCAGCAGCACAGCTCCTGCCTAGCAAGCATGAGGCCCTGAGTTCAATTCCCAGTACCAAAAAAAAAAAAAAATTCTCCTTATTCATCTTCTGTCTGGTTGTTCTACTATTGAAAGTGAATTACTAAAGACTACAACTATTAAGTAGAACTCTCTTCCTTCAAATCTTTCAGTTTTTGCTACATATAGAAAGATTCTGTTGTTAGATGAATTTATGTTGTATCTTTCTGATGGACTATTGTATCTTCCTGATGGATTGAATTGTTCTTGCAGTACTGAGGATTGAACTCAGGACCTTGCGCTTGCAAGGCAGGCAAGGCACCAATGAGCTAAATCCCTAGCTTATGATGCATTGAATTTTAACAACACATAATAACTTTCATTGTCCCTCATGAATTTTTTTAATTTAAAATTTATTTTCTCAATAAAATTGCCACTCCAGTTCTATTTTGGTTTCTATTTACATGGAATATATTTTCCACCCTCCCTTGTACTTGCAATCTCTGTGGGATTACCTTTGTCAGACTTTTTTTTTTTTGCATTCATACAGGTTTGGGCAACTGTCTAGTATTTTTTTACTTCAACCTCAAGTACTCACCTTAGCATTTCTTGTATGGTAGTTCTATTGCTAAAAAGCTGTCCTAGCTTTTTCTTATCTGGAGATTTCTTAATGTCAATTTCACTCTTGGACAATTATTTTGACAGATACAAAATTACTCTTTGACTTTTTCTTTTGGCACTTTAAATATGCCAACCCACTGCTTTCTGTCTTCTCTGATTTCTGATGAGAAATCAATTGTAAATTTTATTCAGAAGCACTTGTTTTTGAGGAGTCATTTATCTAGTACTGCTTTCAAGATGCTCTTTGTCACTGGATTTCAACAATGAAACTATATGTGTGTTAGGACAGAACTCTTTGAAATTATCTAGCTTGAGTTTATTGAGCTTTTTGTATATAAAGACTTGTGTGCTTCATCAAATTTAGGAAGTTTTGGACTTTACATCTTTTAAGAATATTTTTCTGCACCTTTTTCTCCTTCTGGGATTACTATAATATGAAAGGTGTTCAGTCACAAGTACTTTAAGCTATCTCTTTCCGATCTGCTTTATTCTCTTCTCTCTGATTCTCAGATTACAACTTCAGATGTCTTTACCACCTTCAGGTTTACTGATGCTTTAGTCTATAAACATCTACTGCTAAATCCCTCTATTTTTTTTATTTTAGTAGTTGTACTTTTTGGTTCCAGCAGTTCTACTTGGTTCTTTTTGTATCTCTATGAGCTTTCTCTTTTTGTCAAATATCATTTCTTGATTTCCTTTAGTTATTTGCCCATGATCTCCTTTAGCTCTTTGAGCATATTTAAGATGTTTAAGATAAATGATCTAAAACACTATGGAATAAATCCAATGCCTAGGCTTCCTCAAAATGGGTTGTCAGTACTACCCTCCTTTTTGTGAGCTATATTTGCTTCTTTGCATGCTTCAGACTTTCTGAAAAATCTAATATGAGAATATTAAAAACCAATGTGGTACGTTAGAAAATTAGATTTTCCCCTCCTTCCCAGAGTTTGCTGTTTTTGGTTATAGAAGGGGTAGCTTGTATTGAACAAGTGTTTTTCTTCTCACAATGCCCAAATGACTTACTAGCACATAATTTATACAGAATGGATTTTCATATATGCACGTAATATATTTGAATCATATCCACCTCCCCATTGTCTTCCCTTGCCTTCCTTCCCTCAACTCCTTCCTGTTTCTCTAATAGTCTCCCTTCATATTGAAGTCTTTTTTCTTCTTTTTCTAGATTCCACACATGGGGGGAAAAATAAGATACTTATCTTTCTCACACACATACACATACACACACACACACACATTTTCTTTAACCATCTATCCAATGATAAGCACGTAGGTTGATCTAAAACTTAGAAATTCTGAATAGTAAATCAACCAATAACAAATGCTAGCAGGGTTACGGGGAGAAAGGAACCCTTCTCCATTGTTGCTGGGAGTGCACACTGGTGCAACCACTGTGGAAATCAATATGGTGATACCTCAAAAAACTAGGATTAGAGGTTCCATTTGACCCAGCTATCCTTCTGCTGGGTATCTTCCCCCAAAAATTAAAAGAATCATATCACAGCAATATATGCACATCCTTATTTACAGCAGCACAGTTTGTAATAGCTAAAACTTGGAAACAGCCCAATTGCCCAACAACTGGAGACTGGATAAAGATGTGGTTTTTCTATAAAATGGAGTACTACACAGCCATAAAGAATGAGAAACTAGAGTCATTTATAGGAAAATGGATTCATATTGAGGCCATACTCTTAAGTGAAATAAATAGGACACACACATGTAAATACTAGTTTCTCTGGTGTGAAAAACTAAATATGTAAAATAAGGTTCAAATAGTATAGTTGACAATGTGAAATAGGAAAAAAGGACTAAGGGAGTAGGGGAAGTGGGAATGGTAAGGGAAAAGAAAGAAGGGGAAAAAAGTATGAAAACAGAAAAAAAATGGAAACAAAGTGTTTGTAAACAGGGAGGGGTGGAGGGGGTGGAGAGGGCAGAGGTATGGGGAAAAAATAAGAATCAAGATACAACATGTAAAAGTACAAGATCCTAGTGATGAATGTAACTGTACTGTATACCTTAAAAGTTTCAATAAACTCAATGAGAAAAAAAAGAAATTGTGAATAGTGGCACAATAAAGGTGAGTATGTAGGTATCTCATACCAGAGTAGTGTAGCTGGGTCATATGGTAGTTCTGTTTTTGATCTGGAGAATCTCTAGACTGACTTCCACAGTGGTCATGCTAATTTACAATACCATCAACGATGTATAAGGGTTACATTTCCCCTACATCCTGGCCAGTATTTTTTTTTTTTTTGATAGTCATTCTGACTGAGATGAAATTGAATCTCGAGGTCATTTGATTTGTATTTCCATGTTGAAGATTCATATCCTTCTCAGCCATTTGTAACTCTTCAAGAAGTTCTGTTCATTTGCCCATCTATTGATTGGATTACTTGTTCTTTTGGTGTTAAATTTTTTGAGTTCTTTATAGTAGTCTGGATATTAATCCTGTCAGAAAAATAATTGACAAAAAATTTTTTACTGTTATGTAGGCTGTCTTTTCATTGTTATTTCCTTTACTGTGCAGAAGCTTTTTAATTCGATACAAACCCATTTGCCAATTCTTGCTTTTATTTCTAAACTACTGAAGTCCTCTTTAAGAAGTCATTGTCTATACCTGTATCTTGAAGAGTTTACCCTATATTTTCATCTGGTAGTTTCAAAGCTTCAGTTCTTCCATTAAGTTCTTTGATCCATGTTGGAGGGTGAGAGTCAGGGATCTAATTTCAATCTTCTATATATAGATATTGATTTTTCTCAGAACAATTTGTTAAAGAGTCAGTATTTTGAAAGAGATTTATACCAAAAGCTTAAAAACAAACTATAACTAAACATTTTGCTTATTCTTTCTAAGTAGCTCTGTGTCAGGTCTACATCATCTATGGCCTTGGCCTTGAATTACCCACAATAAAGATGGGTATGGGATATAGTTTTATTATTTCTACCAGAATACTATCTCTCACATAGTGATTCATAATTTATTCATTTGGTGTTTTGGGGGGCATTTTTGGTATCGGGGATTGAACTCAGGACATTGCACTTGTGAGGTAGGTGGTGGACCCACGGAGCTAAATCCCTGGCCCAGATTCATAATTTAGAAACCATAAAAATCTGAAGTAAACATCTAAATCACAAACTATAAAGTATTATACATTCTAGGGAAGGAAGATTTACATTAGTTTCGAAGCTGTAAAATGTATGTTTAACTGACACACTAAGTACTACTCTTTAAAGAATATTCTAATTTCCATCTACTTCAAACATAAGTATGCTTTTATTCATTTTCACAAGGAATACAAGGAACTACAAGGAATATTCTCAGAAGTCTGCCTAAACTGGTACCCACTGATGTATAAAGATTTAAATATGTAACACATTTAATCCAGTTCTTAATGATAAACCTTTAAAAATGTTTCACCATAAAATATAATTTGTTGAAAATTTCTATCAAAATAAGCAAAACCATGCTACATTCATAAAATGTATATTTCCTCATAAATGATTAATTTGCTTTACTATACTTTAAGCACTTCACAAAACACTGTGCTCATGAATCATCCTATAGAAAGCAAAAACAGAGAAGGAAAGTTATTAAAATAAATGACTATAACAGACAATTTGCCTCTATAATGAAATAAGCTCCCTCACAAATTGGTAATTTTATGAATATATAAATTGAAATGACAAACTCAGTAGTCATTAGGACAGAATTAGGACATTATCCCAAATTTCTTGTAATACTGAGCTGTCAGATCTTCACTGGTTTGGTGAAGATGCCATTTCTAAAGGAAGGAAGGTGCATCAAAAACAATGTATGTATAAATCTATTTTCAACATAATTATTGCACAAATATAGGTAAATACCACTTTTTAATTGATTTTAAGCTCTTCAATCTGGACCTCCACCTTATGTCTTAAAATATTCAAATATTTTAAACCACCTAAATAAGTCATCTAGTAACATAATGGAAAAATTGAAAATTAAGCTTTAAAGCCCTACCCAAAACTACTGACCTCTCAAACTGCAAACTGTTACTTACTGCAAATTTTTGCACTAAATCTCTTTTTAAAAGCTAAAACTGCTGGTCACAGAAGCTGATGCACTCACTACAAAACACTCTAGTTCACAAACTCTAGTAAATATTCATTGGTACATAAAAAGATGACTCTTTTTAGTTGTTAAGCATTATTTTTAATACAACTTTTTAAAGTGTTGCTCCAAAAGTTTGAATTACTGAATAAAATCATTGTTCAAAATTTACCTGTTTGAGTCCTTCATCAGTAAGTTTGTCCTGGTTGCCTACATGTACTTTCTGAAGTAAAGGGCAGTGAGAGGCAACGGCAATAATAGAGGTGTCAGAAAGCTGTTTACACCTGTAGGCTGTATACCTAAGAAGTCCAGGACACTTAAATGCTAGAACACATACGCCAGTATCAGACATACTGCGACAATCAGAAATGTTGATTTCTATTATATTCTGACTTCTTGATGCAATTTTTTCCAATAATTCATCAGTGACCTATGAGAGAAAAAGAGGCGATAAATATAAACTGGAGCCAAAAGTAGAAAATTACACTGCAAATTAAATTTTCCCCTATAATATTCATTAGATCATAGCATGAAAACATGATAAGAAAAACCTTCATATTAAAGTATAACAAGAACTGTGGCATGGTTGAATGAATGAATGTGTGTGTGTGTGTGTGTGTGTGTGTGTGTGTATACATACATACACACATTTGCTCTTTGTCCTCTAGTTTCTGACAGAGCTTCTAAAACTCTTGGAATTTCCTGTCTTTTGTTATTTATAGTAAGTCCCTGGACCACACACGAATTGGTAGGAACTAGCTGATTCAGAGGCTGCCCCTAGATACTGCTTCCGGATGGGGGTTGGCTACCATAAGAACTAATCAGGTGATTAAAGGATGCTGTCCCTCCAGAGAGGGCTGGAGATTAGGTTATAAAAACTCAACAAGGATATTCAAATGGCCTGTTGGTAAACACATCCAAGTGCCAGTAAGGTGGCATATCCCATACCTTACCCTGTGACACTTTTCCATTTGGCTGGTCCTCAGTTGCATCCACTATAATAAACCAGTAAATGTAAGTATTTTCCTGAGTTCAATAAATATTTATAGCTACTTACAGAACCTGAGGTTCTCACTGGAGGAACTCCTGAATTTGCAGCTCTTTGATCAGAGGGGTACATGGCTTCAGAGATTTGCAAGACATCTAAAGTGGAAGCATTCTGGTAAGACCCTTAACTTGTGAGGAATGTGCTAACCTTGGCAAATAGTGTTAGAAAGGAACTAAACTGGACACTCAGGTGATGTAGAATTGGCTATTAGTGTAAAACAAACAACACATGTGGTGTCAGAAGCAATGTGAGAAAATACCAAGGAAAAATATATGTATTAATTTTCATTAAAAGCCTAAAAATCTATCCTTTTGGGGAAAAAACACTTTAATTAAATGTTCAAACTTAACAAAAATTTACCACAAACAAAACTATATTGAGATTTTAAATGTACGCTTTTCTACTTTTAGCCCAGCAAGTAATGTACATCAGTCTTGATGTATGAATACTGATTTTTATACATATCAGATAACACTACAGTACACAAATGTCAATTGTTTCACTACTACCAGACTATTAACACGTATGGAATTCCTAGCCTAGAAGATATATTATTTTGTATTTCAAAACACCAAAAACTATATAGAAATGTCCACGTCAAAAAAGATATTCAGAACATAAGTAATCTTAAAATTCACCTGGTAATATATTTGCAGACATCTGGATTTTTTTTAAAAGTCACTTCTCTACAATTTCCCTAAGCAATCATTGCACTTCAAAGGGAAACAGAGTTAATATTATTCAAGTCCTTGAGGTAAAAATAACAGAGAAGAAAAATTCACATGAAATTTAAAATGTAGAAAGAAAAACAAAATGGGGATTTGAGCAACAGTGGGAACAAGAGCCAAAAATGAAACTTATGCTTTGCTGGAAACAGCATTAATGCAACAGCTCCCTAAAAGAATAGAAGTCTGATATACCTCTCCACTTATTTTTTAATTTTTTCATCTGCAGACCCTATTACCAGCAGAGGAGACATATTCTTAGTGTGATTTCTTAGTAAATAGTTTAGATAACCAAGAGTCATGAATTAAAGATCCAATGGATTACTTCACATTTTTTCCACTCTATTCACAACTGATTTCTCATTCTCTCTGAACACAAATTTCATGAATTCAAGAAATAACTAATTCTGTAACTTTTTTTTTTGGTACCGGGGAGAGAACTCAGGTCCTTGCACTTGTGAAGCAGGTGGAAGAACAACTGAGCTAAACTCCCTGCCCTGTAACTGTTTTAAACCATTACCAACAAGGTAGAAAACAAAAATTAAACAACATAGATAAATGCTCAGGAACACATCTATTCAAAATGTGGCCATCACACAGAAACTACCAATGTTTTATTAGAGCTGACATATACTAATTTGTAAGAGCCTACAATGTTTACTTCTTTCCAAATCTAAATCTAAATTAAATAGCATATGTATAGCTTGAAATTATTTATGGTAAAATTATTTATACCATAGAAATTGGCAAATATTAAAAATCAGAACCTTCTTTTGGAAGCTGGTTGTTAAATATCTACCAGCATATCACAGTAATATTCCAAAGAGGAATTTAGAGCAGATTTATTACTCTATTAAAATCCTGTTCTTACTGGATATTTTTATGTATTTCTAATGCCAAATACTATCCAATTTTAAAGTATAAATCCAAAAAGTTCTAACAAACTGTTAACAGTAAGTTTCAGAGGTCTATCAACATGAATAAATAAAATGTGGTATAAATACACAATGGAATATCTGGCCATAAAGAATAAAAGCAGGTCATTTAAAAAAATGATGACGTTTGAATCCATGTTAAATAAAACAGGGCAGACACAAAAAGTTAAATACTGCACACTCTTATGTGAGAAACCTAAAATATAAATAAATAAAGCGAAAAATTAAGGAGAGATAGTATGAAACCAAAAGACAGATGTTTTGGAGAAGTGAAATGAAGGGAGGGAGGAGGAGAAACACAAAGAGAGGCAAAGGAATTAAAAACTATCCAGATGCATTATATACATGTACCAATTCCCCAGAACAAAGATAACTATTACATGTTGAAACACACACTAATAAAAACACACTAACTTCCATAGTTTTCCTCATTTATATTGCCATATAAACGTATTGAACAGCGGTGTAATAAGGATGAGAAAATCTGCAAAAGGAAAGCTTTTCAAAAGAGAATATTTCAGTAACTTTTATTTTTTCATCCTTGAAACACTGAAATAGGATCAATTCATGGTGTTGCTCAGAGCATCAAATGAGTAACTATGTATAATGCCCTTAGAGAAGTCAGTTGGCATCATTTTCTACTATTAATCTAATACAACCTCCCCCTAAAAAAGGAAATGTTTACTAATTTTTAAAAGTCAATGGAAAAAGGGGGAAGACATAAAGGAATAAGATAATCATTAAAAAGACACAAAACTGTACATTAGTATTTGAAGTACCTGAAACAACATGGAAGAGATTCTTGAAAAGGAATGAGCTTTTTTTTTAATTGAGTAGGAAAAAATTGAGTATTCCATACCTGTTGACGACTACTAAGATCCAGCTGCTTCCAAAACTGGAAATCTAAACAAAGGTCACGCCAGTACTTGCAAACCAATGATGCAGAAAGGCAACGTTCATCCAGGGATAAATTGGAAAATATCTGAAAATAAAGGAACCATATATGGTCTAAAAGGCACAGAAAAGGGCTTTTATTAGTTAGAAAAATTAACTGCTTAAAACAGAAAATCATCTTGTATACAAGTGGCAACAGAAAAGAGCAAAGAACAGGAGCTAAGAATGTGGACGGGAGGAGAGAACAAAGGGATACCAGCATGTATGCATGTGTCCATGCATTTGCTTGTATTAAAAAACAAATAATACGAAAAGCACTTTACCTCTGATACCTTTTTCCAGAAATCCATAACCCCCAATCTAATTCTGAGAAAAACATACAAACCAAATGTGGGACACTCTACGAAATACCTGATCATCAATATTTATCAAATATTCAGCTATGAAAAACAAGAAAAGACTGAGGAACTACCATAGTCCAGAGGAGATTAAGACAAAATGACAATTAACGCAGTGCTGAATCAGATCCTGGGAGAGAAAAGGACATTAAAGAAAAAACTAATAAATTCCAAATAAAGCTAGAGTTCAATTAACAATAATACACCAATGTTTCCTTCATAGTTCTGGCAAATGTACCATAGTAATGTAAGATAATAAAATTCAGGAGAGCAACCTGGGTGAAGAGTACAGTAATACCTTGGTTATTAAACTAAATTCTTTCCAAATTCTTGTTCAAACACCGAAAAGTTCAAGAAATGAACATATTTTTCCCATAAGAAATTGGATCTAAGGCCCCAAAATTAAATTTATACATTCATTTTTTCCAGAACTTTAATAAATTTCACAATGAATTATTTCTTTAAATGTATTGTGGTTTTGAGTTTTTCTCTTAGCTTTATTGCTAGTATCACTAACTTTTTGTAAACATGGTTATGATAGTCACGCAAATAACGCAGAAAGAAAAGCACAAGGACAAATGTCTTAATGTACTAACACAAGCACTATATGTTGTCTGGGTGAGGGCTGCCTAGACTGCCTAGCCCCTTTGTGTCCTCGGTGAGAGGTGACATGTGACTCACTCTCAGCCTGTACAGTTTTTTTCAAGTCAGATTTTCAGTTGACTATCGAGCAAAGTTAGGAACACTGAACAGATTTTTTCGAACGGAAAGTTCAAGTTTGGAGTCTTTGGACAAATAAGATATAAGGTATCACTGTATGGAGAACTCTACAGTATCTTTGCACTTTACCTAATAGGGCCATTGTGAGGATGAGAATGTAGATAAAGTTTGTCAACAGTGTCTGAAACTGAGTAGGAATAAGTAGGACATAAACAATTTCTATCACAATTATGAGCTGAAATGACTTATCTCTGTACAATTGGAAGATGCAGATATCTAATCTAGAATATCTATTATGTTTAAATATTGAGTCTTGGGAAAACAACCGCCTGCCCTTTCTAAACACTGGTTTTTCTCCCAAAGGATCCAATGAGAAGAATATGCATAGAAATCACATAGTAAATGTACCTCCAACACCAGCAAACATGCAGTAAGCCTATTACAGCCTTTTATTTGCACTTCTTACAAGTGAAATCTCTGGATACCATACTAAAAGCAATTACCTCAAAACTCTAAAAAAGTTAATAATGGATGGACTACAGAACAAAAATCTGGAAAATGATTAAAAAAAAAAAACCCAGAAATGAGTGTCCGCGGTTTGGAAGTCTGTCTGTTCATTTGTCTGTTTCTTCATTTATCTCCTAGTTTGGAACTGAGGGTAGATCCCTTGTAAAACTGCACAGAAGGCACAACAAACAAAAATTCAGAGAAAAGGCCACCTTTCTGGACAAAGGACCAGAAAAATGCACCTATGCAAGACACAGAATGTGAGAAGAGTCTTCACTTTTTGTTTTCTTCCCTCTCCCTTTTTTCTTTCTAGCTTTCATATCCTAAATGCTGTCTCAGTAGCGGAACTACAATGTGGCAGCTGTGCAGGAACTTTAACTCCCAAAAGTAAACCTATAGGTCTGGCCAAAAGAACAAGGAAATGGAACTCTGTGTTCCAAAGAATGTGTAAGGACTCCTCATTAGTTTTTTTCTGACCCTCTCACCAAGAAAGCAGCCTTAGTCACAGAAAACTACATAGCAGCAAAGGTAGCTGTGTATCCCTGACAAAAATTCCACCTTTCAAGACAGAAAATAAAATTTTACTGGCATACAGCCCTGCACACCCCTTTTGGCTTGTCTGTGTGCCAATAAAACTTTACTTACAAAAACCGGCAGCAGGGCCATGGATTTAGCTCAGTGGTTTGCTGCCTGCCTGCAAAGCACAAGGACCTGAGTTTGATCCCCAATACCTAAGAAGTTATAAATTCCTTCTAAACGGCACTTTAGCTGCATCTTGATATATATACTATTCAGGTCAAAATATTTTCTAACTTTTCTGGTGATGTCTTCCTTGATAAATAGGTTATTAAAAGTGTTAGATGACATTAGCAAACAACATAAAAAAATACCATATATCTGTTCTTTCACAAAAACAGCTTAAATTGACAAAAAGTGTCATGATAAACTATATTAAAGCTTTAGAGCTAAGAAAAGGTTTATAGAAACCAGCAAAATATTTAATCAAGAAAAAGGCAACTAAGTTTCAACACATTAGAAAAATCTATCAAATGACTGCTAAATTATGTACAAGGACCAAATATTACAAAATTAGCTCACAGAAGTCACTAGCAAACAGCAGAAACCAAGAGCAGCAATAACAAATCCTAGGAAGAAGAATATGATTTCCAGAATTTCATATATATATATAATATATACTATAATATTCACAATAACCAGTTTAAAGCATAAATAAAATAAAATGCATAATAAAATATATTCAGTAAAATTATTTATATGTATATATGTATATGTTTATATGCTAGGTATGCAAAGATCAACAAAGCATGGCCTATTCATAAGAATAAAAGAATTTAATAGAAATTCCCTATGAGGAAGCCCAGATATTGGACTTACCTGACAAAGACAATAAAGCAACAATTAAGTTATGCTCAAAGAGATAAAGGAAACCATGCACAAAAAAATAGTGAAGGACTGGGGGGTGAAGCTCAATGGTATGCATGGGTTCAATCCCCAAAACCACAAGGAAAAAAGAAAAAAACCGAAAAGAAAGTCATGAAAACCAAACAGATATAGAGATGGTTCATCAAATAGAAAATGTAAATAAAAAGCACAAATTATGGAAACAATCCAAATAAAATTCTGAAATTGAATTATACAATTACTAAATTCATTATAGAGATTCAATACAAGACAATACAAGCAGAAGTCTTAAGAAAGCTAAGATGGTCTATGTATATTGGCAACCACTACATTTGGCAAATAAGAAATTTTTCTATATAGTACTATGGATTGAACCCAGTGCTATACTACACTGTTCTACATCCCCAGGCCTTTCGATTTTTTCAGCTAGGATCTTGCAAATTACAGAATCCAGGCCTGGAATTGCAACAGCCTCCCAAATGAGATCATCAAATTGAAGAGAGGGAAACATCCTGGCCTAGCCAATTTTTAAATCTGCCTTGTTATTGATACTTGCTTTCTGCTAGACACTCTCAGCCCTCTCCCAACCACCACCTACCCTCCTACATATATGTGCATAGTTTTTACAATAAACCAGGATATGGAAAGTTTATCCCTTACTGTTCTCATTTCCAGAGTCTGCCTAATTGATTTATGCCTAGTTTCCCACTCTTTCCATTATTACTAGAATCCCAAGACTAGCAAATATGTGCTTTGACTTTGTATATTTCCTTCCATGTTCACCACTTTCAGTTGAAATATACAGATTTTTATTCACTGCCACAAATTGAGTCAGTCCTTTGGCAGCAAAGCTAGCTTTCCAAACTACAGATCTTGCCACAGTGCTGGCACAAGAGGTTACAGCAGAGGCCTCATGCAAAAATGCCATGGACTTCCATTACAGTATTTTTACCTAAAACTAAAAAAGTTCTTCTAAGAATAAATGCTTTCCAATTTTTTTGTCTACCTTGGTTAATTTCTAGGATTATTAATTTCTTAATAATTTCAGCAATTTTGCCAGTTTATACTTGCCTTCTGTGGAAAGGACAAACTAAATTCTTCATGGAGCCATTGCTCTAAATCCCTCTCTTATGGATATTTTTATACTCATTCTTATTTTATATGGGAAAATAAGGCTTTGGGAGACTAGATCATTTGTTTAAAGGATTATATAGTCTAAAGGACTAATTTATCCCTCAGCAAATAATATACAAAACATCATCACTGTAACTGAGGGGCACCTTGTATGGCTAGTCCTTTCTCTGGATGTCTTCTGGAAACATTTTCTTTTTTGTAAAAGTAAGAGGACTATTACAATACACACATCATTGACTAAATTCACATGGATCTAGAATAGTTTCATTCATTCAAGAGAAAAGAAATTCAAAAAGGTGATAAGTATAAAATAGGATCTATGGCCAAAGATTAAACTACTTTTTTAGACCCTATTATGCTAATGTGAAATGCTTCCATATTTGCCTCCACTTACCTTCTTTCCTTTCTCTATCATGTATATAACCAGGTATCTCAAGTTGACAAAAGAAAGGCTCAAGGCTATCCTTTGATAGCTACTCATTGCAAGGCACCAAAAATGACAAAATTCTTGAATGTGAAGTAAAGAGATGAGATCAAGCATGGTCAGGACCAACAGATAAATTGACAAAGAAAATGCAGTATATACGCATAATGGAGTACTATTTAGCCATAAGGAAGAATACAGTCTTGTCATTTGTAGGGAAATAAATGGATGTGGAAACCATCATGTTGAGTGAAATAAGCCAGGTTCAGACAAATATCTCATTTTCTCTCTAATGTGTGTAAACTAAGATGGCAATAAAGTAAAAAGGAGACTATAATGACAAAAAGGAATAAGAGGGAGGGGGAAAGGGTGAGTAATAAGTGGGATCAATATACGCAAAATACATGCACTGAAACCCCTTCAAAAGCTGTAAAACTAGGGGGGAGGGCAGGGAAAATGCGGTGGGACAGTGAAAATGATCAAAGTATGCTATGTGCACCTACGAATCTACTAAAACAAAGTTCATCAATTTGTGTGACCAATAAAAAAGTGAAAAAAAAATGCAAAGTAAACAAATCTCACTTTTTGCTAGGTTAAGTTAATCAAACCCACTTGACATCCTTCATCCTGTGAATTTGACTTCCTAAAGAAACTCCATTTCAATATCAATTAAAACCATCATTGCAACTCCAAAGAAATCCCTTCCAAGGGTAATTTGGTAAATGGAACCTTAAATAAAGCATTCATCAAACAGTATATATGATGTAATTCCTCCCACTCACTAATAATCTACACTTAAAGCTTTATTTTGTTTTTGTTTTTTTTTATTTTTTGGTTTTTTTGGGTGGCGGGGATTGAACTCGGGTCCTTGTGCTTGCAAGGCAGGCCTCCAAACCGCTGAGCTAAATCCCCGGCCCTACACTTAAAGTTTTAAAAAGATTATTTTTCTCTTTGATTTTCATTTCCACAGTCATTTGTTTCTGCTTTCATATGTAGAAAAAAAAAGAGATCAGATACTTAAGTTTTCCTTCAAAGCACAATTCTCTCATAAAACTGCCTGACCACTGAAGCAACTGTTGGTTATAAATCTATAAAATAAATATTTAATATCTACTGACAATATCAGGGGTAAATGCTTGTAAAGTGGTTTTCTAATGGTAGTGATAGATTTTAGGTCCCCCCATCCCTACCTAGTTTACTTTGGAAAGAAACAGATCTGCTGACAGAGCAAGATAATTTAAACATAAAGCACAAAAAAGACTCTATTACTTAAATATAGATTCCAATATGCCAAATTACTGAAATAGGAATTAGGTTAAAAAAAAAAACAGTTGCATAGTGGTTGAGCCATATGACAATATAATTGTGATTTCAATAGGCAGAGGTGCTTAAAGTTACAAAAGCAACAAGTAGCAAAAGCAAGCGCTTCCTAATTTGATCCAAAACAATCCAGTTACCAAAGACTAACAGGTGTAAGTACCTAAGAAAAATGCTACTCCCAGAGCTGACCTTTGAAGAGCCATTCTCTGCATCTCAAATTTCTATATTTAAAGACCACACTCAACCCTATAGGCCCAATTATAAAATTAACTGCATACTCAGTGGTCTAGAAGTTGTCTGGCATAAACCCCACACAATTCAAAAATCATCTGCATAAAATCCCTAAGAGAGTATTTAGGGCCTCTTAAACAATATTTTGAAAAGCATTCTAAACTTGGAAACCCTGAGCTGAGTTCCAGGCTAAGGTATGCCATTTACTATAATGCCTCAAGGGAAGCAAATTCACTTCATCACCCCATCTCTTTACGCATTAAAAGGGAAGAGGAAAGACCAAATGATCTCAAAAATCTCTTCCTGTTCCGAAGATACATAATTATGATTTCTAATAAGTCTTACTACATATTTTAAGAACTCATTTTTTTAGACAGCTCTATTAGAAAAAACTTTCTAAAATTCCAAACGCTCTTCAACACTAAAATTCCACTTCTTGAAATATACCCTAGAAAAATAAAATCATGCATGCATAGAAAATATAAGTACTGTTTTTTGGTTTTTTGTTTCTTTTGGTACCGGGGATCGAACTCAGGACCTTGCACTTGCAAGGCAAACACAGTGCACCTGAGTGAGCTAAATCCCCAGCCCTAAGCATTGTTCTTAATATCAAAAAACAAAACAAAACAAAAAAACAGGAAACATCCCTTGAGAACTAAAATATGGTATAATACTGTAAATTCCTAAGCAGCAGTTACAAAGAATGAAAAAACTAAATGCTCACTAATAAAAAGCTCCAAACCATATTGCTAACAAGAAAGTTATAGCACATTATAGTATATTTTGAAACTATGAAGCTTTACATAGCACTTTTTTCAATGACAGAAATTTTCTATATCATTACAGTCCAGGTCAGTAGCCATTAATCACATGTGAATATAGATTTCTGAAATGTGACTATTAAAACTGTAAAACTGAATTTCAAATTTTACTTAATTCTTGTTTAAATTTAAATATATGTAGCTAGTGCCTACTGTACTGGACAGCACAGGTCTAGAAAAACAATATAAATTGTTAATAGCAGTTCCCTCTAGAGTGGAAATGGAAGGGAAGGAAGGGGTGAAGCAACGCAAACTTTGGCTTTAACGTCATTATTTGGATGTTTTAAAGTAAGAAATATTTACTATTTATATAAAAAGAAAAGAAAAGCAACCCTGATGCTATCAGGCCAAAATTAATTTACAAAGCCAGGAAAAAGTACCCGGAAAAAATTAAGCAATTAAGTATGTGGCAATTTTCCCCAAAATCTCTCTTTCAATCACATTTCCTCGTATTTTTCTCAAAACTTCTTCCTCTGGCCCCTCATTTTTAACAGCGATAGCAATTTGCTAATTCATAAGAAACAGCAGTACAATTATGAAGGTTACTGAATCATTAGCAGGGGTAGTGAGGCATACTTTCCAAGAACATTTTCCAATGTGGGTGAGGGATCTGTGTTTCCCTGTGCAACAACCCTGGTAAAACTGGGGAAAAAATTGTCACAGCTCCCTAAAACTTGTCTTCTCCAAGCCAAACAATCTCCAATCCTGATCAAAAGCAGTCAGATTTCCACCATCGCATGGCTCTAGCGTGGCTCAATGAGTGGAGTAACTTATTCAAGAATTTTCTCTTACTAATGTGGCATATTCACCCAGTCTCACCCAGATTCTGAACACCTGATTTATTCATTCATCCATTAATATTTATTTACTGAATGATGCTATACAGCAAGGAATACAATATCTAGGCATAGCACCTCTGCCCTGCAAAAATTCTACTTGGGTTGGCAGACATTTGACAAGACTCTATTTCAACTCATCTCAGACAGTTCAACTCAGTTCATACTAAACACCACTAGCATCATGAGATGTAAAGAATATTCATTCAAGTTTCTAATGGGTGAAATGGGAATCTACATAATATGCCCAATAATCCAACATAACAGGGCAAGTCCATGGGCAATTCCTACACGTGTTCCATCCACCAGGTTGGCAACAATCCACAACAAAAATGCAAAAAAGAACAATGTAGTAAACAGAATAAATTTATTCTATAGAGTTTCCCTTTATCATGAGATTATGTCCCTTTTTTGATATTAAAATGTTCTCTACATAGGTAGTGGCTTAGGTTGAAATAAGTACCTGATTTTCATTTGGTTTGTTTTTAAACAGTCTTATCTGACATATAAAAATTCAGTACTGAAAACTCTATACCAAATATCTATTGATATTTTATTTGTCCATGTCATTCAGTGATTTTTAAGAACTTAAAGTTCCCTCTGGCCTAATGTGCATTGTACACACAGAGTAAGCAATTACTCTATCAACAGATGCACCTCCATAACAGTTAATTCACTACATTTTGACTCTGGAAATACACGCTTTCCTACTCTTTCGCTGTATTATTCACAAGAACATTCATATGAACAACAAATTCAACCATAACACAGAATTGAAATGTGCAAAAAGTCTAATCAAAAAAAGTGTATTGGTGTCAGACAACTGTACTTCATGGCAGTTACTTCAATAACAACAAAAGTAGCTAAGTTCTTAACAAGTTTATTTCTGGCTAATCTTAAATATCAATATAAATAGGTTTACAGATTTAGAAAGCTCCAGAAAGGAAGAGATGAGAGTGAAAAGAAAATAAGAAAAAAAGAGTATTTAAAATCGTCACTAGCATTGACAAAAAATTAGCGATCTAAAGTGACATAAAGTTCCTCTTCTCCACTCACGCCTCTTCCTCAAAAATACTACTATCCTGGAAATCTGCTTTCTTGTAAGGGTAAAAACGTAGGAAAGCACTACAGCATACCATAAACAAATGGGGTTTTTAAGTCAAGCTAGTTTAAATGCCCTAGTTCAAAACTCAGATCTGCCCTTTCTGTGAGTGACCTTGTACAAATCATTCAACAGCTTCAAGCACCACTAGACTGTTAACTTCACAGGAGCAAAGACCACTTCTGCCTGACTCACTACTATATGCTTTCTGGCCCAAAGCACTAAAAATCAGTTTCTTCCTTGTATAAAATAAGGATGAACACTATTTGTCTAGAAGCATGAACTGGGAGATGTGTATATAAAACTCTGGCATGGTGACCGATCTTGGTAAATACTCAGTTTAAGTTGTTACCAACCAGCAGCTATCCAACCTGAAAGTACTGTTTGAGGACTTTCGAATATATTAATATGTAAAGCCTTTACTCACCAAATATACACTGCACAAGTTACTCTTTCTCTATAAATATACGTGTCTATATTTCACAGAAAACCTACAAAGAGTTTATAAACCAATGGGTTAGGAATCTAATGACAGATGAACCCTGAATTGTAGGTAACCGACTTAAGCTACGAAAAGGCACTAGGTAGACTCCCAAGTTTTCCTACTTCTAACTAGGCCATGATCACAAGCATTCCTGGCTTGGCAATCTCCCCTTTGGACGTCCCCCGGCTGTCAGGGACCCCCTCCCCTGCGCAGAAGGGGAGGAGAGAGAAAACCTAGGAGGCGGGGGCCTGGGTTAGAGAAAAGGGAACCTCCCCGCGCCTCTCGCCCAGACCCACCTTAAGCAGGATGGACGGCGGCAGCTGGTTGATGTTTGGGGTTTCGGGGGGCGGCTCCCGGTGACAGTCGCAAGGGTTTTCTGGGGGCTCCTGACCGATCGTGTCGCCGCATTCAGGCTGCTGCTGGGCGGACGAGGGGGCGGTGCCCCCGGTTCGGACAGCGTCCCCGTCGGCCTCGATGGGGGCGCTTTCGGAAGGTGGGGACGAGGG